CAGCCTCCCGAGTAGCTGGGACTACAGGCGTGAGCCACCACACCTGGCTAATTTTTTCTATTTTTAGTTGCCCAGCTAATTTCTTTCTATTTTTAGTAGAGACAGGGTCTCGCTCTTTCTGAGGCTGGTCTCGAACTCCTGACCTCAAGTGATCCTCCTGCCTCAGCCTCCCAGAGTGCTAGGAGTACAGGCGTGAGCTACTGTGCCCAGCCAATCCCCAATCTTTTGTCTAATCTTTTTTTAACTAAATGTCAATGTGCAATTTATACACGTGATAATTATTTTGATAGACTGTAAAAATATAAGTTTCACATTAAACTTACTTGTTCTTTATTTGGAAGAAAGCACTGGTGGGAAATCCATGCAAAGTGAGCTAGTTTTAGTTTATCTTCCCAGGAAGTTGTCTTGCTCTTAAGCTTTAAGGAAATGCCAGAATAAACAGCAGCCATTGCTACAGTTTATCTACAATTAAAAACAATGAAAAAAAAATTATAGTATGGGCAAACTGAAGAAGCAACACAAAATGAACAGTGTGTGTATTTTATTGTCTACACAGTACATATTGTTTCAGACATAAGTAGGCAGAAAATGGATTGCACACACAGAAGATGGATTACCAGTGTTCCTGCTGTGATCAAATATTACACCCCTAAAGGTGAATGTGCAGGAATTCAACAAGGCAAATACCAAGTGTTCAGATTACTTGTGGAAAGAGTTATGCATACATGGTTTTAGATTGAAAGAGGAAAATTTCTGCACCTATCTTCTAAAATATACCAATTATTATATAATGTCTCAGGACCAGCTCTTTTAAATAGTTCAAAAAGATAAATAAGCAATGTTTGGAGACATTAATGTTTCTCCAAGTGAAAAAGATATATGGTATTAACCTAACCCCCAAACAAATACTGCTACTTCAACTGCAACAGTAACTTCTACCAGAACTTTATTGTATTCATTCGTGTATACGTTTACAAACACACCTTCCAAAAGACTCTACAAAAGATATTTGCACAATTAAAACACTATAAAGGGGGGAGACGTGCCAGGTTAAGTAATTTTTGTTATAAAAGGTAAGTCAGTTCCTCAAGAGAAAAAAATTTTCATGATACTTAATACAAAAATAAGATTATTGTAAATAAAAACAAATTAGAACAATGCACACACTTAAAAGATTGCAGTCCCATTATTCTAATCTATAACGTATTCTATAACGTATTCTGTCAAAACAAAAGAATCTGCTGGCTGAGTCACCTGCATTTTTTCTAAATCCTAAAGCCCTATCTTCAGAATTTATTCTCAGTAAATAACTACATAACCAAAGAGTAAACACTGGGTGAAGTATCCTCCACTCCATTACAGAAAACAGGAACAGTCAAGTGCTATCACTCTTCCTATTTTGTCAAAATGTCCAATACCAGTTGAACAACTACTTAACTTAGAAGTTCAACATGACACCGCCATCGCGATGGCTACAAAGTGCATAACAAGTGTTCGCTGAGCTCACTACAAAGACGCCAGAGATATTCTCCCAGCTCTACCAGAGCTCTGCTCCGCAGCCTGCTGCAGTCCGTCCCAGGCCTGCCAGCGCTCGTAGGACGGCGGCCAGTGCGCGGCCACACCGAGCCCCCTGCCCAGCAGACAGACACAAAGTAACAGCAATCAGCAGAAAGCTACTAGGAGCCAGGTGAGCGGGCCCGACCGAGCGCGCCCCGTCGGCTCTCTCCCAGAGCCTGGTGGGGGCAGGGGAACTGGGCAGGGCTGGGGGATAAGGTCTGGATTCGGCCTGGGTAGGGGGCTCACCTCGGGGCCCACCGCGGGTCGGAGGTCTCACCTCGGGACCCACAGTGGGTGGGGGGCTCACTCAGGGCACAGCTCCAGGTGCGGGGCTCACCTCGGGACCCGGCCGGGGTCAGGGCTCTGACCTCGGGGCCCACCGCGGGTCGGGGCTCACCTCGAGTCCCACCTCCAGGTGCGGGCAGCAGAGGGACGGACGACAGCGGCAGCAGTTGCCCGGCCCGGCTCCCGCGACCCGCCGCGTGTGTCCACCCCCGCGCTCCTTCCGCCCGACGCCGGCGGCGCAGCGGGGCGGGGCGGCGCGCACGCCAGGCATCGGCAGCCGAGCGCCGAGGCGCCTCGCCCATTGGCGGAGACGGTTGCGCGGTGGAGGCCGAGCGCGCAGCCCGCGGTCCGTTCGGTGTCAGTCAGTCATGGGGCTGCCGCCCAGAGTCGCCGCGGGGGCGGCGGGGCGCGGGGCTCGCGGGCCCGGCTGAGCGCGCCGTGGGAGCGAGGCCCTGCGGCAGCGACGGCAGAGGCGGAAGCGAGCGGGGGGCGGCGGGGGCGGCGGGG